ATAAAGACGGGATTTTCAAAAATTTTCAAATTTTTCAAATCAATTTTCAAATCAAATCAAGTATTACAAGGGCAGTAAGTAAGAATTACATGAATGGCAAAGATGTTGTTTTTTTTTTTTCTTTTTTTGCTAACTTCCTAATCTAATAAATTTATATTCTCTGCAAATTTCCAAGACTATCTTTGGTCTTCATATTTTTATCGACCTTTGTCCCACTTCTATAATTCGAAAGCAGTTATCCTTATGTTAGTTAAAACACCGCTGTGTTCAGGCTGTATTTCAACAGTTCAAGTGCACAATAATATAACAGGAGTTACGAAAAACAGCGGCATGAAGCGTTCCAGCAAACGATTTCAGGTTTGTTTTGCCTACAAAGCATTTTTCTTTTCTTGTTTGTTTGTCTTTTTTTGCACTTCTGCAAATTTTTTCGATTTCCAAGCAGAATTTTATACCGATTGCACTGACTTTAATGAGCAAATTTGATTTATTTTACTTTTTTGTCCAGATATCCCTACGTCATTTACTATGTACTATCGACGAAAACTTATTTACAGAAGAAAGAAGACAGCGAATCGACGGCTGCAGAATCGATTGTGGGAACTCTGAAACATCTCAACTTGATCTTTTCGGAAGATTTTCGCAAGCCGTTGTATGATTATTTAAAGTAAGGATTATGGTTGGTTTAGGTAGATATTTTACATACAATGATAATTATTCACTGCTAAACACGTTTGTGGCATAATAAATGTGTAGTGAGTTGTCTGCAATTTTATTCTGTACTGTTTTCTCACATTAATTTTTTCAAGTTACAATGACGCATGCATGGATAGTCAAATGAAATTTAAGGAATCAACATTGAGATTTCTATTTTAAAGCACTGTACAAGCTGTGTGTTTGTCAATTTTTTAAAAATTGGACTATAGGTCCAATCGAGGCTCATTAACAAAAATTTGCATTGTTAATTTTTTTTCAGAAAGCTCAGTGGTGTGAATTTTCCTATTGAAGATTCCCTCATTGTTGGATTGGCAAAAATGATTATTGATGAATTCCCACTGACTGAGCAAATCTTTTTTGCGGATACAGTCTGGGATCAGTGGTTGACAAATTATCGTAAGCAACATCCAGAATTCGAAGAATAAAAAGAATTGGTCATGGATATTTTTATTGTATTTTGCTTCAAAAAGTAGTTTTTCCGGTTAGAATCGGACGATCAATCAGCAAAACAACTATCTCATTATGAATTCATCTGCCACTCTTTGTCGTTGTGTGTTACAAATTACGGTGTTTAACTAGCGACAGCTGTGGTCGTACTTTAATCTCCACTGCTTGATTCCGTAGTTAAAAATTTAATCATTCAGTATAGTTCCAAGACATAAAACGTTTTCTTCACCTCAAGTTTTTGTTTTTCTGGATTTACACCGTTTTCCAGAAGCGTTGTTAATGATGTGAGGTTTGCTGGAATTTGATGTTTTTCAGAAACTGTCAGAAATTCAATATAAATAGATTTCAATCGCTGTTCGCAGTCGTTACGGCTCATGAGTTGTAATTACGAGTATGCTACCACTTGTTTGAATTAATTTGAAATTTCACTTCTGTGACAGCTTACCTCAATTTTTAAAATTAGAAGCGGGCGTCCACTAACTTTTTTTTCTTTTTTTTTTGAATTATTTACTCCAACACCGAGTTTTATAAACTTCCACACTTGCAGTGCTCAAATGTGGTCCTTTTTGATAGTTTGAATGCTCCTTAATGAAAAATTACTTGCGTCCCGGTGCATTTAAGTCACACATTATTTTACTTTAGTAACAGATTTGAGCGTTATCCACCCATTTATTGGGTTTAGATTCAAATTTGCTTTCAGCTAGAACACAATGTAGAATTTGATGAAGAAACATTTTCTTTGACGATATTCTAAGCATCTTGATTCAGGTTTTTTTTATCGTTATGTTGGATTCGTTAGTCTGTTTATGGAAATTTCCAAACGGCATCATGTCATTGTACTGCACATGATTTTTTAAACTGATTGATATCGATTGTTCACTGATCTCGTTTCAAAGACATGTCCTATTGTTCTGATATTTGTGCAATAATTTCTTCAGAAAGCAGTTAATCCTTTACGTATTTTCAGTCTTTCTGCTATCAAAATCATAATATAGTATTTGTCGGTTTCATTGAATTTTCTTTTTTTTATTTAGATTCCTTGCATCGCTTTAAACTTGACTGATAGCTGGTGTACATCAGTGTGTTTTCTTGGTGATCTTTTTACCCACTCATACAATAAATAACCCAATGAGTGAGTGATGTTCGATGAATAATGGAGCCAAAATTATTTCCTCAAAATTTCTAAAACTGGCTGTTACACATCTTACAAAGGTTGCATGATCTCACATAGTTGCTTGCTTGAAGTGCACTTTATACCTCTCTGCACTGCTTCCTAATAACGATCCTCCTCGAGACTTTTGGATTGGTTACGGTTCCGACGGTTTTCAAATTATGCAAAAAGCTATGCTCAAGGGTTGTAGAGGGATTTAGATCAGCAACTTGTTTTTGTTTTGCTATGGGGACACCTGTGCAAAATCATTTAGTTGCTGACATTATAAACCTCTGGAATTCTTACTGGATGACTTGACCACCCTGGTACATCTGTAAATCAAAATGCATAATACGTAAAATTTTCGATAACGATCAAAAATAGAATTGCTTGAGAAATAATCACTTCGGTGTCAGAAATATTTTGTTTTATATTGTTTAAAAACGTATTTTGTTTTTGAATTGGAAATTTCAGTGTGTTATCAGGAAGTGTTCGTGTTAGGGGCTCATACTCTTGGTCGTTATCGAATAATAGAGATGTTGGGCTTTTCACTCGCTGCCTCATTTTTCACACGTTTTAGAATTGAGTTTCACGTTGTGATGATGTCTGATACTTGAATAATTTGAAATTACAAACTGGATAACATTTTACGTAAGCTGTAATTTCGTGAAAATGGTAGTGGTAGAATCACTTTAGAAGTAATTCTGTAGGATGTGAAATGTCTTAATGCGTCATTCTAAACTCTCTTCAAGTTTCATTTCTAAACCTACTTTCTTCAAGTTCCATTTCTGAGCCTTGATACATTTTGCCTGGTATCCATTAAAAACTGTCAGAGGGAACTCATCCATCTGGAAGAAACTATAGATAAGGAGGAAATTAAAATTCTTTTACACAGGCTTCTTCCTCATAATTACTTTAAGTTTACACCGACTATATTCTTCTTTGATGCACACCCCAGTTAGTTTCGGTTGATTCCATGGAAACAGACAAACGCTGGTCAAACTTTCCACAAAATGCTTTGTTCTGAAATATATATGGAGTTTTACACTTCATGATCAGATTAGTCTAATGATCCGGAAAACTTTGAACTTCTCTTGAGTAAGCGAAATGAAATCGTTCAGTTGCTTGGTAAAGATGCAATACCCATCATCTTATCTTGAATGTCTCTGATATTATACAATTCTCAGTTACCTGATACTGAATCCTTTGCCAATAACCAATTCTGAACTTCGTGTCCCGGTGATTTTTAGGTTAGCTACAGATGTTCCGTTCGTTCAAATAATTTGCTGGGTCTTCTCAAATATTTTATATCCACTGAACTGTCATATCATGAATTCATTTTCATATGCTCAGGCGAGGCTAGAGCCCAAGAGGTTAAGTTCAGTGGTAAAATAAGCTGTTGTAATCACTACCTGAATCACCTGCGCAGCTCTTAACTCTTACTGTGGGTTTTTTGTAGTAATATCTAGCAAGTCGAGTTGTAGTAAAGAGATGGTACTGTCATCACTGTTGACTTTTTCGTTGTTAATTGCATCTGTTCTTATAGCTTGGATATGATCAGTGAAATTAATACGAGTTATGAGCAGAGTCTTGCATAAGTTCGGCTACAGTATGATCAAATTAGAAATTATTTCTACATTCCGACAATTAAGCATTCATTTTAATTCAATAGCACACAAATTCTATAAGGATCTCGAATTCTGCATGAATCAGTTGCCCAACACTCTCCTCTTTCATCCGTCTTTTTTTCCGTCTTCTGTACTTCATAATCCAGGAGTTGGATCTTTTTCTGTCCTTTTGTGGCTCCACAACTTTGGAATTTCTTTCTATTCAGTGTTAAGTACAGCTTCATACTGTTCGATTTCTCAACCGATAGTTATGGTCGTTTATTTCTGAACTGACGCTAAGTACCAGCTATTTCATGCATTTACAGGATCGAATTTTCTGCTATTCAACGATGGTATCGATTAAATAATAATGACTTAGCAGCAATAGAAGAAGCCAGCTCCCACTACGGTTTTTGCAGAAGAATTCGCGTTATGTAGGTTAATAATTACCACATAATTCTGCCTCAGCAGGCAATTTATGAGCCAAATTACAAAGAAGAAACGCAATTGGTCTCATCCAGTTGTTAAGTGGAATGAACCGTTCTACTAAATTTTATTGCCGATCCATCCTCTGAGCTGTTGAATGACGATAATGATCCCTCATAGTATATTGTAAAAGTCTGATTTAAGCATTCGTTACCTAGATCATTGAATGCCAAATAGTATCAGACCCAGAAGAAGTATAGCATCTTCACTTATACAACCTATTAAAACACCATTTGAAATGAGCGGATGAAAACGCTGATCGAGATTGAATGAGTTAAAATAACCTCAGGATCTTCAGCAGGATATATAACAGAACCTGTATCAAGAAACGGTATAGTTTTATATGTTGTCGAATAAAGTAGTCTGAAAATATGTTGTGGCTGTTTGTAGCTGTCGCTGGTATCGCGAGTGGGGAAACAAAATAACAATAATCCCCTTTGTTGAAAGGCAGACATCTTCGTTTTACATGCTCATATCGCCTTACGTTTGCGCCAGCAAAGAGCATTACCAATGTGCGCTCCATAAGAATGCTAATGTAATCATAAAATGATATAAGGCCCTCCCGCAAAAGGAAGCGGAGGGTCTGAGCGCCGAGACATTTCACAAATTTTTTTCATCAAGGTCACTTGGATATACGAAATCGGGCGTAATTCGGTCTCCTTTGTCCTTAATGGTTTCGTCATCAATTTGATGTGTCGACATCGTAATTGCTTAGTTCGTTGTTGTATTAATAAATTTATTGTAATAAAAGGTTTAATTACTCAAGTTTGAGGTACTACTACCCAAGGAAGCAGAAAGAACCATCAGTCTTTGTCAGGGTTGAAGAAAATCGGCGATAGTAACCCTCAGGGATATTCCCCTCCCTCAGGGTAGACTAGGGATATTTTGTCTTCGATGGGGATCAACTCCTTCCGCAATTAACTCTTGCTGCCGAAGTGCTATCTCAGATGATGCAGGAGAAGGACGTGGAAGTATTCCCTGCACTTTGCAATATACTCGAAGGATATTGAGCTACCAGCTAGCTGTGTGGTTATCCTGACCTCATAGCATTATTGCAGAAGAATGACAGTACATTTCATCATCAAACAATTTCGCCTTTTGATCATTAATTCTAGAAAGCTCTCTTAATCTGATTTACTTATTAACTTCATTGGTTCTTTGCCCACTAATTTCCCGATTTTCAGAATTTCAACTTCTCAATGACTGTCAAGTTTTCTACACATGACCACAGTGCATTCAAAAGCCCTGTACTCGCGTCTTGTCTGCACCTACTTCTTCCACATCGGTTAATAACTTAACCGAAACCGACTGCAAAGGATGCTTCCTCTTTTCGCAAATTTTTGTTAGAATCCCTATTTTATGGGCATTTTCCTTCAGTTTCTCCGCAAGACTGGTCGATCCTTTTTCATTTGATGTATTCTACATAAGTTCAGTTTCTTTCGCAAGTGCATACTTCTTTCCGAGTATTTTTAAGCTACTCTAGAAGGCAAAATTGGATTGTAGCGCTAGTGTCGATGGTAGCAAATTGCTGAATTTCAGTATCACTGAACAATTTGTTGAGGATACAGAAAATTCTCCGACATCCTCCATCGTTCTTTACCATTCTATTAATACCAACCGAGCGGTCCAGAAAGCCTTCCGTTAAAATGTAGTTTTTAGTAGTCGATAGTTTTACGAACGGCACGTGTTTTGGATATTCTTGAAGTTATACTTCTGGCACAAAGGTGCTGGCTGAATGGTCAAGATGAAATTGTCAAATCCATCAGATTTATTAGCGGCTCTGATAGGATTGGATGTCTCACAAAAGAACTCTACCCACACATACAATAGCAAAGTTTTGTCAGCCTTGTTCTTCGTACTCATATTTTTAATAGTTATTAACCTGTTTTGTAATTTAAATCCAATCCTGCTGATTCGTGAACATTAAATCGGAAATTTCGTGCTCAGCCTTTATTATGTTGGTATCTATATCATTAAACTGGGGATAAAATGACATTGTCCAGATTGCAATACGAAAAACATAATAAAATAGTTATTTCGTGAACGATTAGTCAAGTCCTATATTGTGCTGTATAATAAGACTGCTAAATTTTTTCAGTAATTTGGCAACTCCTTCTAACTCTCTAAATCTGCAATTAAAAATTTCGAAATTAATAGATTTCTTCAGAACTGACTGTTCTTATTGAGCTTTTAGACACAGGACGTTGCATAGCTAAATAACATAAAGTGAAACTGTTATCACTGGTCAATGGTCATACTCCTATTATTTCGACGTTCGACCTGTAAAAAATAGTCATGATGCTGTAAAGACAAAAGATACTAGACATATGGTCAGTCTTTCAACGAATGTGGGTAGCTCTCTTTTCACGTGTCCAAGATAACAGAATTCTCGGTTGGCTCACATGCAAATCTGATATGTTCTCCTGTTATCCAGAACGAATATGGATTATCAGATGAATTAATTCAAACCGGTTATGAGCGGTGTTTAGAAATTGGGGAGTCTTCAACTATCGAAAGTATGCAGAAGCAGAACTTAAACTCAGCTTGACATGTTAAAATAATTGAAATATTAAGTATCAAACCATCTAGGTCACATTGATGATTGAACAAATTGTTGAGTAGGAGATTGCTGAATGGTAAAATTCATTTCGACTTTTCCCCAGCAAATGCAACAGTTGCATCCTCGATCGCGATGACCCACGTAACAAGTGAAAGTCAGCAAAAACAAATGAGGCAAATGCGTTCTTTTGGGGTATCTCATGCATAAATTTCATCCGGAATCCTTTGTCACATTCACTCTCATGCCAAGTAGGATAGCAAAAAAGTACAGTTTTGAGCGATCATTTTTTACTATTATTCAGACCTTTGCTATTATTTTAATCCCTTAATTTCCTAAAAATCCATACACACTGTAAAACAACTTTCGGGGAAATTACAACAAGACACAATGTAATAACGATAAAATTCTCGCAACCAATAAGATTCTCATTTTATTTCAGTGCAAACGAAAATGAATTATGCTTCAAATAGTTGTTCCTAGTCCAAAGCAATGGGTAAAATGGGAGTGTATTTTACTTCTCGTGATTATTTAAATTATTCGCTTCAACTTAATTCTAAGCAAATAATGAAAATGAATTGTAACTCAACTTCAAAACATAGGAAATTTCAACAAAAAGTGACAATATTGGGTGGTCGTCAAGTGAATTAAACTTTTCCTTCCATGACAGATTCCTTTTTCAATCATCTAATTTCCACTTGATCTGACATCAACTTATTGCCGTTATGTAACATAATATAAAGAGTTACTATAAATAATAACAGCGAAACAAAACCTGCCAAACATAATCAGAAAATGGGGGAGAAACATATATGAAAGACAGTTACTAGTTACACAACAGTTGTTTTTGTTATGCTAGATTAACGAATTTGGAAAATTCTAAGTTTATTGCAAAAAATTAAGATGTTAATGTAAAAATAAAGTGAACGAATAATAATCATACCATTAACGAGAGTGGAAACTGTACCTTACAAGAAGCATACCGCTGACAATGAGTAAAAATAATATCCAGAAATAATTGAATAATTAATCTACTATGCCGATTAAGCAGCAAAAAGCTTCCCCGGCTAAAATGATGCACTATTGTTGCAACTGCGAATTGGCTGCACTATTTCATTTACAGCAAGAAGGATCCAAAATTCAAACAACAACACCTTAGAACTTCATCAATTCGAAATATAGGATTAGTTTTCTATTGCATTTACTTCTGCCGGTTAGATTAATATATATGAATATGAAGCCGCCAGTCTTTGGGAACAGAAAGGTCCCAATTCCTCTGTTCAACAGGCTGAAGGAGCCTACACCACTTGGTGGGAGAAGTGTGTTAGAACAAGTTTATCATGTTCTGGAAGTGAACAATCTATGGCACTGTAAATATTTGATCAATTAAACCCCAATGAAAAATACAAAGTTTTTGCAGTTCTTGTTTTTGACCTAATAAAAACTGCAGTTTTTTGCACATAAAAAGATGTAGATTCAAATCCAAAACAGTTCCAGGCCTAAGACTTTTATTAGGTCGATTTCTAGATCGGTAAGGTCGATTCCTCGCATGGCCGATACTAGCATGATTTTCAGCGAATGAAATGATAATTACATGAGTTAACAAATACAATTGCAGCAACTGGTGTCGAATATATTTCACAAATTTAAACAGTTTCCTGAACAGCGAGTTCCGGCAACAAACTTCATTCCAATCGAATTAACTTCAATCCACTTAGGAGATGGGAATGGATCTCGGTATACTACCAGCGATTAATTTGAAGTAGGAAAACTTTCGCACTTCCTTTCAACTTCTTTCTTTCAGCGCGAATGTATATTTCTCGCATTCATAATTCATCCCCAAAAGTTTTGGAAATAGTAGTTCTAGACATTTAAAAAGGTGGGGAGTAGAAATTATTCTAAATACCAAAAATTACTATTCTAACACATAAGATTTCGTTTAAATTTGACATTTGAGACAATAAAATTCCATTTAATCCCGTTTCTAGATTTCAATTATAAAAATGTTCTCCACTTTAGTTATCAGCTATTTTTTGTACGAAATCTGTTCAGATGAATAACACGAAAATTCGGCAGGGAAAGTAATAAAATCATGCATGGTCAGCACTTAAACTCTGAAATTTAACAAATTTAAGAAAGCATTACTTGCAAATCTTCCCCCATCTCGCCACCCTTATCTGTCTAAACAGTCATATATAATTATAGCAGGCACCTGCAAACTAGCTAATTTAATACTGACGTGAAGCAACTGCCTTATCATACAATCCACCGCGGTCAGCTCTCATGCATGATCTGAATCTTTTTACATATGCTATTGATTAGAGGAGCAATTTCACGGTACGTTGCTGTTACCATTTATTTCATTCATTTTCTGAGAACATTACCAACTGTCGTTAAGGATAAAATGTCAAATGCTGCGTAAATTTTTAATTCAGAAATCAATCGATAATGCTACTCTTGAACATGCAATAATAATAAAAAACAGTTAAGTTGGCAGCAATATTAGTGTATTAGTTTGCGATGCAATGCAGTTGTGAATACTACTGATTAGCATTCTATCGAACTGCTATACCCGATATTCCACCATAAGGGGAGTGAGTATAGCTATCTGCTTTTGTCATATTTTCTAGTTTTTAAGTTTTAAAATCAAAGCATTCATTTTTTTAAAATATTTATGCCTAAAATACAATTCTTAGAATCTGTATTTAAAGCACGATAGAATGAAGGTAAAGTTGGATTAGGTAAGCTAATATATGTCCTCAGTAAAAACTGATAAAGTGAGTGTAACTTGAAAAAAATACGAATAATCTTACCCACAAATATGCCATCATAACTAATTTACGGCATAGTTTCCATGAAAATTTGTGAAAAAAAAAACGTATAGAAAATAGGGAAAGTTAAGGACTCTACAAACTAACCGAAAAAGAAGTAAAGAACAGTATTAAGGTAAAAAAGTATTATGGAGGATACTTATTTGTTTGATCGCAAGTCGTCCGAAATTTTTAAAAAATGAAATGAGCAACAAACTTAAACACATGTTTAAGGAGACTTTTAAGAAATATATTTGAACAAGCGCTGCCGAATTATGTAGTGCTAACACATAACAGGAAAAAAAATAAAATACATTTCGAAGAAATACGATTATTTTAAAAGATAGTAGTTTAAAACGAGTAAAATTCTAATTGAAAGCTTCGCTCCCATGCAATTTACCAGTGAGAAAATTTACGTGAAAGATAGAAATTTTCAAAAATCCTCAAAAATAACCAAAAATAATACTGAAAATTTGATACGATATGAAGCAGTAAGTGACTAGAAAAAACTAGAAATATCTGAATTCTCCTCGTTTGCCTTGTCGTTGTTTGATGTATTCCGGTGCATCGTCACTTATAATACCCGGACGAGGATTTAACGATAAAGACGCTCCACGATGCGGTAATGCATTTCCCTGCGATGATATCCGCTCCTGTAAATATAAGAATAAACACCTAACTTCTATTCTCTCATTATCTTCTGATATTTGAATTCTGTGTACGAAACCGTTTCCAGATTCTTCCAGTTATTCAAAATACTGCTTACGATTATTCCAGAAAATACGAAACATTATGGAGAAAGATATATTGTTGTCGTACGTATATCTATTGCATGAAATATTCACCGAATGAAGAGTCGAGTCCTGAGGTGGTAACGACTGAGGAGAACTACGACCTACGCTTATAACAGACAATATGGTATGCGGGACGTAACCAACACGATGATGAACATTTGTACATTCCCACCAATTTTTATTATCGTTTAAGACCTGTAACCACATTGTTATTCAGCTTTCAGTTCCAAAAAACTGAACTGAACAAGAAGCAGTTCTGAAAATCTGATGACAAATATAGAAATACAAAATTCACGCACCACCACAATAAGAATCTTTAGAACTTCTGATCTCACCTCAAGAAATTCACCCTGACTGACAGTTAGTTCTTTCGGATTTTGTGCAACTCGAGTATGTGTAACTTGTACGAGTTTAGCATGACGAGCTATAACATCGTCTAAAAAAGCTCGTTGCCGTGGACTTTGCTCTTGCAAAATCGGTCCGGATGACGGCGTCATATGCTGCTGTTCACTGTCATTAAACTGAGACTGATAAAGCGGCCGTCTCGACATAGCTGGTGAAGGCTGACGTGATATCCTGCAATTTCTTCGAAAAACTAAGTTATGATATTTATTGAAAATATAATGAAAGTGAGACTAAATTGGCATAGATGAACAAATGGGGAATAATCGAAGAAATACATAAGCTTTAACAAATTTACTCATTCTGTCTTGCCGTGTAACTGCTACCCACTGATCTTTGTTCAGCTTCTTGTGCCATCATTTCTTTTTCAGCTGCTAAGCGTTGTTTCTCCTGTCTGGAAAGCATATCAGACCCAGTTTACTGAGATATTATTACCATTTCCCAACTGTGTGGAGGATAAAAGATACCGATGGACAGTGGCGATTCTTCTCCACGGATCTCACAATTAACAGATATGGTAGTCTATGGTAGTCTTTGTTATCTTCGTTTCAGTATACATTTTTGCCTAATATAGAAAAACTTAGTGTTGCTGCTTTATTAAGATATTTTGGCGAAAAATGGGACCTTCTCTACATCCCCTCTTATGCCATCTATTCTTTCTGACATGTGCTGGTTGTAAAATACATACAGGATTCTGCGTTCATCTTCAATAAGTCGCCGTTCACGCTCCGCGATTTTTTCTTTTTCAAAATCCAGACGCTCCTTTTCCAGAGACATATGATCCACATCCACATTTAACTAAAGATAAAGAAGTACAAGAAAAGGTTAACAAATTTAGTACAAACAAAAAATATTTTTTATACCCAGATTCTCAACTATTTTAAGGGTGCCCAGCTAGAGATACACAATACCAGTACACTAGTCTCTCACAGAAACACTTCAACAGCAGCACTATGGTAGTTTAGAACAAATGCTACATATTATTCCGTACCTGTTCCATCGCAAAACATCGTTCAACTTATCAACGAATAACAACCCAAAGAAATCGGGTTGTTGTTCACTGATAAGTGAAAAAGAAGTCCGTGTCTATCAAACGGTAAAGGTATCACGATTCAGGCTCATAACTCATCATAACTATGCCATATTTACTATAAATAAATATAAACTTTAAATAAAAGTTTCGCACATTATCAACAGAGTGATCCCTGATCGGTGGTCGGTGAGCACAGGAATTTTGGGTAGGTGGTGGTGGTGCACTCACACCACGATGAATCGGTTGCGGCATTGACTGATATCGCGGAGGACTTTGTGGACCTCCATAGTTATCTGGATAACCATATGGTGCAAAGCCATCCAAAAATATAGGTCTATATGGTTTAGGCAATGGCCCAATCCAATCCTCTCTGCAATCCAATTTAAAAAACATAGTTTTCCTCGAACCGTTTTTGGTTTCGAAGCAATTTCGCTAAATTTTAATTTATCTTTATTTTCTACACGATATGCTGAAAATTACACCAATTTCTATGAAACTGAATTGCCTTAAGCGCAGGGAAAATCGTTATGTGTGGTTTATACGTATAAAATAAATAGGATTTGCTAAAAGAGAAAACAGACGGCGCTATTCTCCAAGCTTCTCCCATAGCCATCCACACATCAGACTCTCTGCTTGTTAAACAGTTCTGCAACAATTCACGAGTCTCTCGTGAAAGCAACGGAGAAACGACCTGAAATAAAAGCAATCACTTTTGGCAGTGACTTTTGTCCAAAATTTCATTAATGATTTCGATTTCATTTTTGTAGTGATAGCTCGGTGTCTGCGTACCTAACCCGCCGCAGCAGACGCGCCAAATATAGTAAATCGTGTCATCTTTATTTTATTTTCTTCTTCTTTACCATGCCACCTAGCTAGATTCGTTTTCTTCATGATTCTTTTACAAAGTCAAGAAAATTGACAGTGTTTTGGAAATCTACGATATGAATAGCACAGAAATCTTTGATAATTGTAAATTATTCCTGAGGAGCGACGTTTCTTCCGAGACCCCAACGACATGCGTCAAGTATGATTGTGAGCGGAGTGAACAGGAAATGCAATAATTCTGGTGCATTCGGCTCATGAATGTGATTTTTGAGCTTAGCCTGTTAAAAAATTCATTTTTTGAATAGGTGAGATAAAAGACATTTTGCTATCATTGGATTTCAAGCCTGATGTGATAAAAAAAAACTAAAAATTCCGACCTATACTTACATTACCGAAAGGCTTCTTTATAAGCCAAAATGACTAATTCAAAGTAGTTGATAATTTGAAAAAATAATCTAAATGTAGACTTCATAGTGAATATGGACAGTTTACCAAAACAATCGTAAATTTTTCAACTTACCAACAAATTGAACGACAACTTGAATTTCTGCAAAATGTCAATAAATTCAAATTCTGCGGGAAGTTGTGCACGCATTTGTAGGATACCACTTTGTGGATCAATAGGTGTACGTGAGTTCTGCTTACGATGGGTACGTTGTCGATGCGACTGAGCTTCAAGTTCACGTTGAGCAATTGCAGCTGATTGTATACGAGCAACAAATCGCTCGATATCATCGAAACAACGATTTAATGTGTTCTGAAATGAATGTCTATAAATATTTGAAATGCTGTGAAAATAAAATGAAAATTTTGAGCAAAAGTCTGTGAAAATGAGCAGATTTCACAGATTTAGGTATAATTCATTAATCAGCCTTGCAAAATTTATGAATATGACTACCTAGCTGATGTTTGATAATTGAGAAAATTAATGAAATCTGTCATTGAGGAAAGTGATGGGATTTAACATGCCGAACAGAATTGCTCCTGACTTCGGCTCCCATTATAATATATAACAAGCAAAATAAGCAGCTCAGACATGAATCTGGTTTGATTCTTTCTGAATTGCTCACAGAAAATACCGATTCTTACCACATCTCTTTCAAATGACTCACTGCTATCAGAACTGGCGGAAGTATCATCACGATAACCTCGAGCAGGTGGCCCTTCAAAAAAAGAAATAACTCAGCATAAACATATCTTACCAATATTTGTCACAATCACATTTCAGTATTAGCAACACACCTGAAGACAAAAACACTTCACTATATACAGATATGTATCAGCAGTGATTGATTTCGCAACTCTGAGTAATCAATATCTTGTTAGCAAGCAGCCAAACATTGGGTTCAAATTAAACCTATCAAATTAATCGAAGTTCTTTAATTCAAGCAAAAAGTGATGAAAAAACGTACCCATCACGAATGGTGGTTGATACCCAATCATGAAGCCCGTATCGCGTCGTCCTGTCCTTACCTTTTTGTAATGTCCCGATAGAAATGCCTTTATATCATCCACAACATCATTTGCCGAAACACGATTGCACTATAAAAAAGTTTATCACACTACCTAGTTTACCTGACTGGTAAAGATTAAAAGCAATCACTCTTCCTCCTCTTCCAAAAATTTATCGCTACTATCGTAATATCCTTATTTAATAGAATGTATGGCTACTTTACCATCATTACGGCATTGAAAATTTTTTCCGGAAAACGTTATCTCAAAACATATTTAACTACAAATTAAAATGAGGCTGATTATCCCAAAATATACGTACCAAAAGCAAACTATCATCTAAATTGTTCATTAAAAATTTTTGAAATTCAGAGAAACCTAAAAACTTTGTAAAGAATGAGCACACCTGGAAAATATGCATTTCGGTAGGATTCAAACTTCTTCCACGTTTTTTATCTTCTTTTACGATAAATAATAAAATATTGTTGTACACATCGCGGGGATTTGTGGACAAATGCGCAGTTGGATTTGTTACGAGTTCCATTGGAAACTGTTCTACAAGATCCTAAAACAAGACAAATAGTATAAAAAGGTAAAACTTCGTTTCGACTAAAATAAAAGCACGTCTTAATTTTTCTAAGCCGTATAATACGCACAAAATTTTCCAGAAAATCCCGAAAATTCTGGAAATACACAATTTTGAAGGTAGGCAGCCCTGAATCTAAACACTACAGATGTGCATTTATTCTAAATGTTTATCTTAAATATCGTAAAGTTCCATGCCAGTACCTTATAACACACATTAAAGCTTTATCCAAAAAACTTCAAAATTTTCAACAACGTTATTTAGACTATAAAGACAATTGGTTTAAGAGCAGTTGTGGAACCACTCTCAGATCCTTCAATCCACTCATTTCAAACACCTTCGCAGTGAATATTTTCACGACTATATAATAATTCCTTACGACTTGACCAAGAAAACTTGGAACTTTGAGTTTAAAAGTAGCCCTGGGCAAGATACACTTTTCGGTTTCGAATCAACTTTCCTGTTCCTCTCATTGCTAAATGCAACAATTCAATTTCCAACTGCTGTTGTTGAGCATTTCGATAACTCAGTTCCCCAATAAATTAGAAATCTGAGATACCACATGCAGGTGACTTCGTCACTAACGCTAGAAAAGTAGCCCATGGTCTAGATTCTTCTCCAATTTATCTATCTGATGAGGTGATATGCACTCATTCTCTTTTGAGTTTTTTCTCTTGATTGCTTAGATGGTGTCCATTTCCTGAGTTACTTTAAGCTTCGAGACGTAATTTTTCTCAATTGATATATTTTCCCGAAAAGGCCGATGAATTTTCCTATTGCATTCATTGGTAAGGAAACGTGCCGTGGTTTTCTCACGGATTTTATGTTATTATCAAGTGGTTCCAGATTTCATTAGAAGAGAACCCTATCATAAGTACAGTAAAAAATGTGCATGTGGCACGCAATCTTTCCGAAATGCCTAGCACGGTCAAAAATTTTTAACTCTTAATAGAAAGTCGGAAAAATGGTAACGTAGGGGAGGGAGAAAAGAAGGCTTTGCAAAAATTGGACTTATGCAAATGCGTCGAAGATACTGGAAGAGAATTGTGTTTGAGCTAGAAAGATTTGTGAAACTTTCGTAACTCAATACGAGACTGAAAGTGAATATAAAAGCTCTCATCTTGTGAGTTGAAGCAATAAACGACTTTATTATTAACATACAACCAAAATTCGGTGTTAAAGTACGGAACAAGGCTTACACTTCATTCATTTTTGGTAGTTCACGATTCCTTTCTTTTCCCGGAAGTGGATGGGAGCATCATTACTACCAGTAGGATTAGATAAGTTGACGGTTTCGAAAGTTTAGGGACACAACGAGATCAGTTACTTAAATCAATAAACTGTGAGATGAAGTTAAAATATGACCAAAAAGATTTGAACCAGAAAAACGTGAACAAAGCTGTTTTAAGTTCGGCGCAGGACATCTACTACTGCTACAGAAATTGTGGTAGCAGCAGTTGACATCCTGCACTGAACACCCCTGCCGAGGTCGTCAAAGCTTTCCATTTTATGCAGTGAGTCATTTTGGTTCCTTCCGTGTGTAGAAAATGTTTTAAATTTCAAAAATTAATCAGCAAAATAAAAGTGAAGTCGTAAGAATTCTTACTCCATTTTCATCCTCAACCGAGACAAGTCTGGGCTGCAATCTTAGTACCATCGGTTGTGCCCATATCGCACTACTATGCTCCAGCTGCTTCAGTTTCCTTACACCGTCTTCCGGATATTGCAAACCGAATTCACGACCAACAGCAAATGTTGCCAAATGTTCCACCCAGTATGATGGTGTATCACTCTCCACAGCGCTCGGATTACGACTGCTACCTGTATTAACATTAAGATTTAAAAGATATATAGAGAGCAGGAGCTGGCTGAAAATGACAGTTTGAAATCAACCTACCATGAACGCTCATTGTTGAATTTTCGATTGCTCCGTTGTACTGTTGTGGTGGGACGTTAATATATGGCAGTACTGCCGGCGACAGAGTATTCGACGATAGCGAGCCTCCTCCACGTGAATAGTAATACGAACTTGAACCAGATGCTGATGGATGTCGTGAACTGGTCGGATAACCACTGCAAACATAGCTACAACGCCGTTATTTTGTTATGGTTCTGCATAGTGCGGGACCAAAAGTTCAGATTTTATTAAAATAACATTAATCACAAAGTAATCATCCTCTTAGGGTTTAGTCCCTTAATTAGGTTCAGGGAAACTTATTGAAACTATCGTTATAAATCCCAAATTTTTGCTAAAATACACCAGATTAACAAAAAGATTAACCTACCTCAGCATCAAGGATTTCTTCTACTCCGGGAAACGAGCCTTTCCTGATCAGGAAGACGCTGCTATTCCCCTATCTCTCATCTTCTATCACAGCATTATATTTCAGCGATTACAAACATAATTCTGATTGGAAAAGTGAAAGTATAAAACACATGATTAAATATTAAGGAATACAGTCGTCGAATGGTTTTAACATTGCTACCGCTATTACAAGTACACGAAATGCCTATTTCGAGTAGATCGGTTATTAACTCTAATCAGTAAGGAATGTATCGACAATTTAAAACTTGCTGTAGCAAAAGCTAATCACTGAGTTAATTCGGAAAAAAGCCCGGGTAAAGTGTCAGACGACGATACCTTTTCTGTGTCAGAAGTTAGTTTTGAAAAAAGCTTGGAGAAGGAGAAAAGAGAATAGTGAAAGGCAACAGTGGAACGATGAAAAGTATTGGAACTTCTTTCTCTCCTTCTCTCGAAACTGCTTTAAATTACTTCGAATGAATATCGTCACGTTCCATTGATGAATTAAGATGAACTTCTCAAAATGCATGCATACTTCTTATGGAATGCAGTAGTATAGATAATTATCACACACTGCTGTTGCATAATGATACAACTAGCTCATTAATGATGGCTGCAGGCTTAATGTTTTACGCCTTCAGAGCTTTTGAGCTCAAAGAGGAAATCAAAGTTGATAGAACATTGCCAACATGTAAAAAATTCTTTGCTAACATAGTTTCTGAACTGTTGCATGAGTGGACAAATAGCTGTTACCAAATGGTTTAATAAATCTACCCTTCAAACGATGACCAGATATTCCGCTTTACTGTGACCCTCCCTCGCATTTTGAAAATTGCGCCACGAATGATTAGAATACCATCGTGATATCGTTGCTATGAACCATCGTTTATGATAACAATGCCATAATAGCATTCCTGATAATAACTGATCGTCGTTGTCAGTATCTCCGGTAGTTAAGCGTTGTCCATAAAAAAGGTATGGAAAAAAACTATAGTTTCATTCAGCTTGAAAATAACACTTTAAAAAGAAAATTTGAAATCATATTTTTGTTGCACGAAACTTTTTTTGAAACAAGCTCAAGCACTTCCGCTAACAGCATCTTTTACTGTTGTTAGATGAAGAATATTTTTTCAAATTTATCTGGATTTTCAAATTTATTTATCCGATCCAGCAAGTGAACGACTTAACTGCCTTTGAGATTTAACAGTTTTTACATAAAGGCAAGAATGCTTATCAATTCATGAAACTAATTTTATCAAAGAAATTTTGCTGATAAATAACTATAGTAGATACGGTTTGGCATATATGTTTGTGCGCTTTTTTAATGAAACTTTCTTCATTTTATATGTAGTGCTCTTCTTTCTTTTCTGCTTAGAATCTTAAAAATTTTTTGACGCAATTCTTCAACAATCAAAAAAAGAAAAAACATTAGCTTGAGGCGGTAAGTGTAATATCGCGATAACATTCCAGATTTTAATAGCTCGAGAATAGTCTTTTTGGGAGCAAAATTGTTAATACTGATGATGATCCACTTTTGATTTATATCGAGAGCAATCAGACAAAAAAAAGGACGGCATTCTATGATAATTCGTTTAATGATGGCATATAACAATACTGACTATCAAATAAGGGCAAATTTGTATATCGTGTCGAAATAACTAATGCTTAACATGTAGTCCAAGCTTTCTTCAGGATGTAATGGAGGAACATACAAAGTACAAGTCAATATGTTCACACATTAAAATACTCTCATCTTCGTAGTTCAAAAAAATTAATAACGCTCTGTTTCAACACTAGGTATACTGTGCCAGCTCGCAAGAAGTGTCAAACATACAGCGCGAGCATTATGTAATTAGAATCATAAAATAAAATATGAGACCGAAATGTGTTCGGCGAAAGCAAAAATAGACAAAAAAGATCACTGTTGAAATCCTTTTTAACCAACCAAAACTTCTTTTAAAATGTTAGAAAGTTATGCTAATTAACCAAATAAATAAATAAATGTTACTATAAGTAAACAATCGGACATATAAATATTCTGCAGAAACGCAAACATTTCTGTAGGAAGTACAGTCAGTAACAGCTAGATAATCCATAAACAAGAAGATTAGTTTGTCCAAGAAAAAAAAAGACTGAAAACTTGGACAGTATGGATCGCCAGCACTACACAACCAGGAATTTTAAGGGAAAAATCGTTTTCCCTTCGCCTGGTGTTCAATACAATATTTTTGTGTATTTTGTACCACATGGACCATAAAATATGTAATCAACAGGCTATTTGAATTAGTGATACTTGGAAAATGACAATTTGCTAACTTGGAATTTCGTAAATTTCTCAGAACTCATGAAAGCAGAAACTTTCTAGCTTAAATTTCCTTATGATGTTTACGTCAATATTCAGTAATTCAGTGGACAACTTCGCACTTGACAAGATATGAGTGCTCTTTGAACTAGATGAGAATTCAGCCAGCTCAATTTTAATTCCATCAGTAAAACTTTAGAAACTGTAACATACTTGGAAAATTCCAGTGGTACCGGTTGGTGGCGCCTGGCCGCAGGCAGCCCTGATATCGCTTTACGCGTTTTTGACGACAGGATTGGCTTTTACTGAGTCAGCGACTATGTAACATTGAACCTGAATACAGAACAAATTATGAAAAAATTTCTAAAAACAAATGTCATGGGGATGCATAGAAGTGTTGAAAGATGCATTATCGGTTGTTTCACTGCATCGGGCATAAACAATGATATATTGGAGGATTACCAATTAGCATTAGGAAATATCTGCTACATTACTGCTCTTCGTGGTAAAGAGCTGATCCCTACGTCAGCAAACTTTTCGAGACTTTTACAACCAGCAAAAAGGAGATAATGGATATAGTAATGGTAATGGTTGAAATTGTTTGAACGGTAATATTAAATGTTATTTGTGGTGCTAATTCTTCCGTTTGATAGGAATACTAAACACTGATTAAGGTGCAATATCACTGTAGTAGACTGCTACGTCTTCAATCTTGAGCTAATTTGTTTGGGAATTGACTAATCTCATTTAGCACAATTACACTACTGGGATATTTCACCAAAAGACATTGTTCGCACACTTTCCTCTGCCCTCTAAGTAATGTTTGAAAATCTGTCTTCACACATCAACACTTTCAAAAGCTCTGAACAACTACTTATCATGAATGGTAAGCAATAAATCTGAAAGTTACCCACTGTATATCCAGTAGTCCTCCCTATTATATATGGTGAAGTTATGTTCTTCACTATTGCTCTTTTTCACCTGACTTGGAGGAAATTTCCAAATTTTAATGTTCAGTAAGAATGCTACTGCTCTTTCTTTTAATTAATTTTAATAATTGCGTTATTGGAGCAAGTCAAACATCACAATAATTTGAATATTATTAGGGAGAAAATCTGCCTGCTTCATTAAAAGATATTAACATAAGCTCTCATGCAAATATCTGATGTACTATTTATTGAGTGCAACCATTTACTTCACCGTTCCGATATATTTATAATCCTTTGGGCTTGCTTTTCCCATATAAGAAGGATACATTAGCAATATCAAAACTATGAGTTACACCAATTTCTAAAGTTTTCTTATAAAATTCAAGCAAATTTTCTTGAAAAATTTAGGCCAATGGAGAAAATAATAGTGAATGATCCGTGGTACATGAATGAGCTATATCTATCGTACGGTAGTACTGCAGCAAATTTGATTCGTGAAATGCAAACATCAAAACAAAATTCATGGAAATTGTAGGCGGAAAAGGTGAACAGAAAAAAGTGAAGGATGGAATCGTATTAAACATGACAACTAGAATGAAATTTTGGAGGACAGAGAAAATGGAAAAGAGAGAAAAGAGGAACTGCACACAATTTCATCAAAGTTGTTGACAAAGGATCGGATTTTTTAAGTACATATAGAATAGCTTATGGAAAGGCCAAAGAAATAATTAAGATTTTTTGGAAGTCGTGCGGCTTCTATAAATCAAAGATCCAAAATATATATTTTACTAAAAATACACATTTCTTAGCTTAAAGTCATACTGGATATACAAGTTATAGGTTAAAGGCTTGTCCATTGTACTATTGAGAAATTTCAAGTATTCTTTTACAAAGAGAAATTTAATATGAAAAGCATTGACGTAAGCTCCTAGCCAGATACCTGATATCAAGTACATAAGTTGACCTTACCGGTCCGATATCGACGGTAGTTTAACCATAAGGAATCATTAAAGAAGCGAAATTATAGGAACCATTTCTGCCACGTTGAGAGAATTTGAAAACAATTTATATTTTCTCTAAGATATTCAGTATCGATTAAAATATTTTTGCTTAATTGACATATTCTTGCTGCTATAAATATAGCATCCATTTCAAGACAGCAAAGGTTCTGTTAGTTACCCACAGATTATTCGTAAAATTAAGGTGCATTTTGCAAATAATTTCGTTCGTATTTTAAGAGTTGTAGCGAGAAAAGAATATTAAAAGTTCCTTTACGAAAACGAAACCTGGAAAAATTGAAAACTTCCTCAAAGAAAAAACAACTTGTTGCAAATTGTTTTAGAAAACCTCCGAAGATAATTCGACAATCCATTCTTTTGTTTTTGAGCCCTTCCTCGAACATGGCAGATGAAACTACCATATTTTTTTTTTCCCTTACCCAAGTGTAAATGAATTGGTTGTTAAAATATATTCATAAGTTTCTGAAACTGATTGCAATCATCCATTGGCTAACTAATAAATGAAGTATACGAAATGGTATGAAAGTTCGTAGGATTCACACTGAATAGGTAAGTTGAGAGAAACAGATCAGTACACGAGACATACACAAGAATACGGGGTTTTTTTTTGAAGCGTGTCTTTCATAGAAAGTGATAATGAGAGCTTGACGAGCGTTTGATAAGGTTAGAGAATCGTTTTTCTACTCATCATGTTTTTCTACTATCATTTTGAGTAGTGCTTTTGTCTTCTCTCTACTTCCGTAAAATGAGCATTATAAGAGGCGACATTATCGGACAAATTCTAAAAACATTATTATGACTCGTCATTAGAGCAGCACTGTGCTGTTGCCTGATCTGAAATGATGTAATTTATAGGATATAGTCCTCTTCACATCTGATGCAATAAAGTGTTCTTGAGCAACAACTTTTCTTTCATATATCTTGAAGCGAGAGCTGCTAAACTTTAGGTTAGCTGAACTCTCATTTATGGATTTGATTTTGTCGCACAAACAATTTGTTTCTGCCTTCAATATATATATATATATATATATAATTCTAGCTCCTATATAGCAAAAAAAGAAATACAATAAATTATTGGGCGATAGCTCTGTACAAATGAAATAAGGAATGGATCGAAGATATTTCGAATTTAGAGAACTTTCGACTTGATTCACAACAGGTTTATGAAAAAGCGCCACTACTGTTACTCTTACCGGGATTACTGGTTGTAAAACTTATGGATGATTTTGATGGAACTTCAACAAAAATCAAACGAAAAACAGAACTTAAAGATACAAGGATAAAATGGATGCTTAAAGAGTGGAACTGAACGGAGAAATTTTGGAAAGGAAGAAACGAGAGGCAGGCGAAGGACCAAGATTGCACTCTATGTTTCGCCGCACCAAAAACCCATTCAAGCAAACTTTTAAAAAAACCTGCGCAGACATGAACAGAAAGGAAGGGAGGGTGGAGGAAAATGAGAGAAAAAGAGGACTGAAGAGGTTATTGACAAGGTGGAATGATTTCAGTTTTCCTGGTTAGAAGGGGAGAACCTTGAAAACTGAAATAGGATAGGAAGGAGAAAGAACATATAACATTAATATAAAATATATAACATATAATATACGTCGAAGGGGATTATTAACATAGGAGACCCCCAGGGAAACTGAAATATCGGAAATATATTGCATTCCAGGTGAACATCCAGGTATCTCATATTCATTCCATCACTATAAACTGTATTTTCTACCGTGCGTGTGGCATATTTCGGGAGGACTGCAATACATTCTTCATTTTGTTGGTTTCTGCAAGTAGTGCAGGGGAAAAAGTGGAAAGAATATAGATGAAAAGTGGGTGCAAACCTGACTCTTACGTTAATAGTTGTTGGGGACGGCATTCCACCGCTCCTTCAAAAGCTCTCTGTGTTGTCCTCTCCTACCAGTGCTGCACACATCTATACCAACCCTTTGAACGTTTCAGCTTGTTTGACATGTTTGCCTGGTTGCGTGAATATATTTATGCTAGACAAAGTATTTTTGCGCCAAATAACTCGCTCTGAATATTCCTGTTTTTGTAGGGCAGAAAGGAACATCAAGTGAATGTGACTAGTCTGCGATCGCCAGCACATCTGTCACTCCTTTCAACCCACCACATAATTATATGAAATCCATCATCATTCAGCATAACGCTGACAGAACTGTAAAATAAGAATCGGTGAGATCGGTAACCTGATGATCCCTCATTATGGTAACTATAAAATGAATCTTCGAGATCAAAGTCAATCATAAATTCTATACCATAATAATAATTAACAATTAATGATTATTAATAACAAATAATGACAATAATTAATAATGATAACAATTACTAATGTTAATGATAATAATAATAATAATAATTAATAACAGTAATAATAATAATAATAATAATTAATAATAATAATAATAATAATAATAATAATAATAATAATAATAATAACAATAATAACAATAATAACAATAATAACAATAATAACAATAATAACAATAATAATAATAATAATAATAATAATAATAATAATAATAATAATAATAATAATAATAATAATAATAATAATATTAATAATAATAACAATAATAATAATAATAATAGTAATAATGATAATGATAATAAATGTTAATAACAATGACAATAATAGTGATAATAATAACGAAATAATAATAATAATAATGGTAATAATAATAATAATAGTAAATAATAATAATAATAAAAAAATAACAAATAATAATTAAAACAATGACAATAATGGCATGACCAGTGCCTGAATTATATCATGACCAATGTTTTGGTCATTTTAATTAACTATTGTTATAAATAGATTTTATAGATTAATAAATCAATCATTTTCTATTTGGAGTACCATAATTTAGTGATATTAGTTTAGGTGG